AAGTGAATGTATTGGATGAAATCTGAACTAATGTAAGTTTGTAACATCTTTTAGATACCACAGGCCTCTCAGAAAGGTGTAATTGGCATTGCTATAAATTCAAATTGGTTCATTCTAAACCAGAGACGGAAATAGAATCCGTTGCTAAGTTCAGCAACAGAAAACAAAACAACGTCGCTAGTCTCATTTAGCGACAACCGTTTTGCCAACGGAGTAATTCCGTTTCAAAATCTATCGCTACCTATATTTAGCAACAGAAAAGTACAATCTAGCAACGGATTTGATCTGTTGCTAAATGTCTATTTTTTCGTAGTGAACTATTTTAATTATTATGTGTTTAAATCAATTACATGTATACTGTATAGTATTAATGTCTCTTATTTTTAACCTTTAATTGGATTTTGGTTGTTCCAACATTGTATGTAGGAAGCATCTCTTCCAACTAATTTTCCGAGTTTTCCTAATGTTTAGCAATTGGAGATATATGTTATGCTTTCAAACGATGGAAAAGACAACCTTCTTACTTTGATCCCTCTCATTAAGGCATGCCCTGTGTTGCACACCTTCAAGTTGAAGGTAAATTTTTTGCTTTGATTATTGAAATTAAATAAATGTTTAAGATGTCATTAAATTATTGACGGTTGGTCTATCTATCATTTGATGTTGGTTTGCAGCTTTTTACTATTCGTGAACTATCAAGATCACCGACGATGTTAGTAAAAAATGATGTTCAAATTGAAACAATACGTGCCCATAAGCACCTTGCTGTTGTAGAATTTGCTCGTTTTTCAGGAACTAAATCAGAGGTGAATCTAGCACTTATTCTGGCCGAGCATGCTTCCATGCTTAACAAGTTAATTTTTGATCCTTATCATCACTATAAGAAAAAGGTCAATTTTCGACGGATGTGTTCCGACAGACACGAAAATCCGTCGGAAAAAACGAAATCTTTGATGGATTTAAATTTCGTCGAAAATTTCCAACGAATTTAGATTTTCCGTTGGAAATTTAAATCCATTGAAATCGAAAAATAATTAATTTCTGACGGATTTTCCGTCGACAAATAATTAATTTCCGACGGATTTTAAATCAGTAGGAAATTTCCGAAGGAATTTTAGAGACTTCCGACGGATTTCCCATTTTTAATTTAAAAAGAAAAGAAAAAAAAAAACCCATAACCCCCCACTCTGTCAATTCTCTTTCTCTTTCCTCTTCTTCTTTTCCCTTCTCCTTTTCTCGTTCTTTCCCCTTCTCCTTTTCTCTGGTCCTCTAATTCTCCTTCTCTCTCTTCTTCGATCTCCTCCGTCATCTCTCCTCTTCTTCAATCTCCTCCTTCTCGATCTCTTCTTCTTTCCCCTCTTTCTGACCGCCTCAAACGGCGACACCACCGCAACAACGACACCACCACCGCACAGCAACATCAACTAACAATTTTTTGTGGTGGTTCTACGGTGGTGTAGCAGCAACAACAACAACAACAACATTAAACGCGGCGGCCCGTCACCCACTTTGAAGGTTTTTTGTAGATCGATCTAGGTTAGATTGTAGATCTAGTTTTATTTTTGTGAAAAACAATTCTGATTATAATTAACTTTTGATGTAATTGTAATGTTATTTTATTAATTTCAGAAGCTAATTGTATATTTATTTATTTTGTTTTATTTCAGTTTTTATTGTTTATTTTTTTTTCGGATCTTTGTGAATGTTTATGGTGGTGGTAGGTGACTATTTTTGTATTCTGATTTTATTTTGGGGTTCGGATGGTGAGGTGGGTGGTGGTGGTTGGTAGATCTGGGCGGCGAGGTGGAGATAAGAGATCGATTATTTGGGTGGTGGGTTGAGGATATGGGTTAGGGTTAGGGTGGTGGGGAAGGATACGGGTTAGGGTGGTGAGAGGGTTTTTCAGACAGGTGGTTTGGTTGGAAAACGGGTTGGGCAGGTGGTTTGCTGAGAAAAGGGTGGACGTGGTGGTGGTGGGTGGTGGGTGGTGTGGGGTGATATTTTTTTAATTTTTTTGGTAGGAATTTCCGTCATAAATTTTCGACGGACTTTTTTGGGCCGGAAAATCTCTTCCGGCTCTTCCAATAAAGGAATTCCGTCGGAAAAGTATTTCCGACGGAAATTCTGTAACACCCCCAAATCTCCCTCTACGTAAATACTATATTTACACGTATAAAATACCGTAGAGATAGAGTTGGGCGTATTACAGCCACGTGAAAACGTAAGGCTTACTTAAGTACTAAAAATGGCAGCGGAAAATAACTGACTTTATTAATATTATAATAACCATAATATATAGTTCGAAAATACTCCAAATAAAAACATGTCTGACTCATGAATGAGTAAATTCCTAACTAGGTGATCCCAATCCCGATTCAAGCATGCACACGAACAACTCTACACCTGAAATCAAGACTGCTTACCAATAGTGGTAAACAGGGCGAACCAAAAACAAAAAAAAAACGAATTAGCAAAAACGCTAAGTACATATAAGTGCAAGGCATGTAAATGTTTTTATTAGACAAACATGCTTTCGAAATAATTATTCCAATTTAAACTTGCCAAAAGTCACTTTCCAAATTTAGACTTTCCAAAATTGAACCTTCCAAAAGTAGTAACGTCCATTAATAGAAACTTTCCAAACCAATAATTTCCAATTTTAGACAAATTTCCAAAATCAATTTTCTTCACCTAAGTTTGCACACCCCCCAACAAGTTAAACTATACTCGAGGAAAGACCAAATCATACAAAGCTCATGGTCTTACTTAACCAGTCCCGGGTAGAGGGACAATTAATATAATAAATACTCAGGCCCATAATGAGCTACAAGTTTAAATTAATTCTTTAAATCAATAGCTTGAAATTCGGTGATCCATAAACAACTTTTATTAAGCTAAACTACACTTTTGAAGATCAAACCTTTAAATCGTAAAATTATATTTTAACTCAACATGAAAACCATTAACTTAAATCTTTCATACGCAACATTTATTCGAACAATCATTAAAATAAACATTTACCAAAACATGCATTCAAGCTTGTATCAAGGACCTAGCCACCTATACGTACCTTGATCACAAGAATAATTAAGGTACGATCACTAAACTTGATCACGATCGGGGGATTCCTCCGATCCTACACAATTAAAATAACCTTAATTAATATAAGGTTAACAAAATAAACACAAAATAATACTCTACTTGTGCATGAACTACTTAGATATTAAATCTTATTTACTTTTTTAAACACAATTTATGCTATTAGTATCAATTAGTGCTACTAGCTGTGACGTTAGTATCTAAATGCTTTAGCTTTCTTAATAAAGTAGCCTTATAATAATATAGGTAATAATAATCATAGGATTAGAAATCATCATTCTATTTTATTTTGTATAGACTTGCGGAAAAAGAAGGTGAAAGAAAGGCAGTAGCTCACGGCAGCAGGTCACGGTAGGCTGGCAGCAGCGGTTGGCTGGTGTGGCGACAGTTGGGTGGTGTGGCAGCAGTTAGGTAGCAGTACGTAGTGGTGGTTGTTTAGGCGCCAACAACGGTAGTGCGGTTGCGGTGCGGTGTTTGTTTGAGCAAACAAGTAGAGGAAGAGGAGGGCGTGAGATTGAGAGTAGAGAAGAGGGTTTTCTGATTTTTTTGGTGAAGGATTGAGGGTCTATTTATAGTGTTTAGAGGGTAGAAAAATATAGAGTTGAAGGTATGATAATTATGATAAGTTTTGGGGTTTGTTAAAATACTTCTTCTTCATTATCCTATTTTGCTTCCTATCATCATTCTTCCAACCATATGTATATCATAAAATCATTCTTAATTAAAACCATGGTTTTGGCTAGCTTCACATCAAAATCTGTTATTATTATTATTATTATTATTATTATTATTATTATTATTATTATTATTATTATTATTATTATTATTATTATTATTATTATTATTATTATTATTATTATTATTTCCTACGAAAATCATAAATTAATTAGGAATATAGTTAAATTTGATAATTAAATCAAGTTTATCATTAAAATACAACTATAAAATATTTTAGATAATATCAAAATCGAAATTAGTTGTAAATCATAAGATAATTAAGCTAAGGTTGTTAAGTATTATTAAGATAAAATCCGAAAAATAATATAGCTAAGTTCAAAACAACGTACAACATTAATTAATAAAATATAGACCGACCAAGATCATAATTTAATTTTGAAATATGAAAATATTTAATTTGTTCGAATAATTTTGGCGCCAAAATTTAAAATTTATTTTGGCTCCAAATTTGAAGAAATTACTAAATAATTAAGAAATTATATCAAAAAATTAGGGGTATTACAAATTCCGTCGGAAAATGTCGTTTTTCCTACAAAATCTTTTCCGACAACCGATTCCGACAAAAATTCCGTCGAAAACGGGATTTTCGACGAAATTCAGGGTGCTTCAAAATGGCCTATTTTCTAGTAGTACATTCTCAAATTGGTGGAAATACACACATATATGTGGACTTTGCAAATAATATATTTGAAAATATCAGCCTTTGAAGAAGACGAGCAGAGGCACTTGCAAAGCAGATTCGAGGAGGTGTTGATGTGGTGATTCTATAATAAATAGGATTATTTTATTAAAAATTAAACAATTAAATTGTTTTCTATAATGATGCTAAAAGAATCATTTGACTATTACATAGATCTCATGAGATTGTTAATGCTGATAGTTGATGACTGTAATTTATTTACAACCTCGGTTTCTTATTATGTCTAATTGTCAACAAAAGAATATTAGATCTCATAAATAATACCCCTTTGTTGCACATAAATATCGGAGGTTTTATTAGTTTATGAATAAACTATAGTTGTTGTACTTAAATTAAGTAGACCCAACAAAATTTCACTTCAAATATCTTGGAATTGAAGTAATTAATAGGGAGCTAAAATTATTAGAAAATGGACATTTATCAAATTTTATAATAAAGTAAAAGTTGCAAAATGAATATATAATTGAACCATAATCTCTCATTTAGCTTTCCCATTGAAAATGAACCTATCCATCCACTTAACATTTTACTTTTGTTTTTTCTTTCTTTTTTTTATAAGGCTTGATTCCAAGGTTAAAACACACAAAAAATAAAAATAAAGCAACTAAAAATGTAACTCTAAATCCCTTCATATTTCCCCTCCTCCATGCAAAAACTTGTCAACTAACAATGCAAAATTATCCCTGATAATTTGATCATCAGTCATTCCACATTGCAAAGACTCCATTATTCGGTCCTTGAACCGTCTCCGTCGACCACCCTGCATAACTTCCTCCACCACCACCAGCAGAAGGCATGTCATAGTCCACCTTCACCAATGCAAGAGGCTCAGTATCGCCGGCTCCCACAGGGTTACTTGTCGAGGAGGCGGACCCCATGCCATTGATCCCGGCCCCGCCTCCAAGGTAGGCGCCACCACTATAGCTCCCACTTGAACTACCATTGTTGTTAGTATCAATGACACCAGAGTTTGAGCCCATGTTCATAAACCCATGTAGCAAACTAGGGTTAGTTTGGAGATAATTATTGTACATGATACTAGGGTTTGAGTAACTTGATTGTTGGTACAATTGCAAGAATTGAGCTTCTTGAGAGTAATGTGAAAGGGAAATGTTGTTGTTACTTTCTTGACCATGGTTGTTTTGTAGGGTTAGCAAAGGTTGTGGTTGGGTGTCTTGTTGGTGGTATGGTAGTAAAGGGTAAGCATGAGTGGCTTGTTGGTGGGCCCCGTACCGGCTCGAGGTTGAGCTACTAGCTCTATATGGGTAAGTACTATTGCTTAGGGCAAGCATTTCCTCCCTCTTTCTAGAAGATTCTATGGCTTGAGCTTCCTTAAGGCGCTTGGCGGCTCCTCCTCCTATGGGTAGGGTGTTGCTCTCTAGGATGGCCTTGACATCGTACCGGCTCATGTCAAAGTTTGTCACAGCATTGAGGCCTCTAAACTTGATGGCCGCGATGTCATAAGCTTCCGCAGCCTCCTCTTCTGTGCCTGAATGAAGATTATCAGTTAGCTTAGTTGGTAAAGTCAAATATATTCGTACATGACAGTAAACATTAACGAATTTACTTACTAAAAGTTCCCAAATAGAGATCTTTGTTCCCCGCTACTCTTCCGATTCTTGCTTGCCATCTCCCATGTTGATGGTGCCTCGTTACACCACGATAAATTGATGCACCTCTAGAGAACCCACTACTCTTCCTATAATACCATTAAGATAATTATATAAATAAACAGATAATTAATGAGAAAAGGTTGAGTAAATTATTGCAAATAATCAACAATGCCATACATACTTAACTTGGAATTATAATCTAAATTCACATACCTTCTAATAGCTGCTACGAATTCCTGTCTAGTCATGTGTTTCATGTCTTCTACTTCTTTCTCATAGTTGCTTATCTACAGTCAATCATTGGCGTTGACCAAAAAGAAATAAAAAATGCATAAGCATTGCCTAATTTTGAATTGAATAAGGATTAACATCTGGGAAACCATCTTACAACCCTTAAAATTTTGATGGTTTCATAAGATTTTGATATAGCCTTAATTAAGTGGTCGAACAAATCAAATTTGCTAACTAACACAGTAGCGCTAGTTTGTACTAGTTATATTATATGTTGGCAAATATATAAGATCGCAAATTAATAACGAGTAGTTATTGAAAGAAACTCAACTGGAAAATTTGTGGTGGTAGATGTTCCCCAATACTTGATTGCAGCTAGATCATAAGACCTTGCGGCCTTCTCTTCCTTATCGTACCCTCCTGTTACATATCGCACGTTGTTATACGTTGTTGCACATCCAATATTTGTTGCACTTTGAAGTGAAGAAAAGAGTTATATATTAGGCATTTAATTTATTTGATATAAGAGTAACGTATTAACTTATTTCTACTCACCAAGATACACTGCAGGAAAGTGTACGTACGTCAAAATTGATACGACCAATTAGAACCCAACATGCATGGTTATCAACCAGGAAAACAAAAAAAAAGTTAGTAACATTCGATAATTAGTCTATAATATAGTATTAATTTGGGATTAGATCGATCCAAATTAAGGAAGTAAAATTGACTACAGAAAATGAATAAGAATTTTAATGCATAATCCTTAAAATTAGCATAAATAATCTTGATTAAAAGAGAAAATTGTAACGATGAAAATAATAATAATAGGAAAGATAAAGAAAAATTACCTTGACGACCCTTCCTTGATTGTCCTTCCCTTCTACAACTATTATCCCAAAGATGAGCTTCATATCTTCCCGTCCACCTATGCCTGGCTACCATTTTTCTAATTAGCTCTACCATAAATAACACGAGTGTAACATAAACATAAAATGAAACGAATCAATATTTACATTTTTTATAAGCGCGCAATGTATCTTTTCTGGACCATCCAATTACTCGATTAATAAGAGGGACAACAATTAATTTGTAGAAAGAAAAATAATTATCCTAACAACCTCTCTTTGATTTTATTAGAAAATGGACCGTCTATACTTCTATTTAATACTTGTAATTTTGTTGATGATGAAAGGTACATAATCGCTAATGGTCTATAAATATTTAACGATAGGCTAAAAGAATAATTACCTAGTAACACCTCTATAAATAGAAGTTCTTTGCCCAAAAGTGTCAAGTGTCCTCCTAGGAGTAGCCTCAACCACAGGAGTAATCGCGGTGGTGACAGTGGCAGCAGTCGAGGCAGCGCCAGTGGCGGCGGTGCTAACATTGTCACCACTCGTTTCGCAATTATTAGTGCTAGAAGGTTGCTGCTGTTGTTGTTGCTGTTGCTGCCCACTACTTCCCATGGATAACGTTAATGATTGCAAGCAGTTATTCGAGTTATCTTGGTATTGATCATATTCGCTAGTGTTACTAGCTGCTGCCACGGTGTTTTGCACCGCGAGTAACCCGTTGTTGCCGGAGAATAGATAATCTGATTCACTGCCTTGGCCCATGTCACTAAATGCTGACAGATCCGGCGAATCATGGTGACTTTCCGATTTTCCTACTCCTAGGAAATCTGCTATCTTAGGGACCTCGTTAGCGCCTTGTGAGTTGAGCAAGTTCCATTCTATGAACAAAAAAATAGTAAGAGTCATTTAAGTACTAGTCAAGTAAAATGATAAAGAAAATGCAAAAAATTGCTATGTTAATCTAAATAATTTGTCATTTTTAGCATTTTGTACAACAAATTATACACTTTTAGTGATAGTAAATGAACTTAATGATGGTATTGGATTATATTTGAACCTTATATTTAGTTAGATACTATATGTATATATTGAAATTAAATTCGACATTGAAAAAAATAAAACTGACAACAATTAATTATTTAGGATTAGAATAAGTATTTATAGATATAGATATAGATATTAATAATTACGCACTCATTATATATATACTTATTCCGTAAAATAAGGTTTACCTTGAGCTTGGCCGAAGGGGTTGTCAATGTCGGAGACAAGGCCTAAGGAGAATTGTTGATGAGGTTGTGAATTGGTGGATTGAAGATGTGAAGGATGAGTAGGAGAAAGAGGAAAAGATAGCCAATTGTTTGAATTCATTGAGCTCATAAAATAGTTATAATCTTCCTCTATTGTACTAATAATTAAGCTTAATCACTTTGTAATTCACCGCTTTCTTGATGATAATAACTTGAGCTTAATAAGCATCACTTTCCTGCATCACAAATCAACAAATAAAAATATAAGATAAAAGTAATTTAATATAACAAAAACTAGCATATTAATAATAGAGTATATGATGAAGTTTAAAGATTAATTACCACAAAAATCCTACTAAATAAAAAGAAGTAAAAAGGATTAGGGTTTACACCCTGTATACTACTACCTCTCTACTTAACTACTCACTTTCTCTCTCTAGATTTAAGGAGAGAGAGAGAGAGGGAGAAAAGAGAGGAACAAGAGAAGAAAAGTGAAAGAAATGCATGGTACTAAATATGCTTGAGAAATTAAAGCTAAGTGTTTGATTAATTTCAAGAACAAAATTAAAGGGGATATTATTTTTGGCAATACCAATATATTTGTAGCTTGAAATTGTTGTTGAAGTCCTAAAAAAAGAAAAGGGACTTTTTTTGGTGGTCTAAGTAGTTTTGGATACTCCACATTCCAAGGCTCTGATCTAACTATTAAGAAGAGGGAGAAGGGTTTTGATGATCTTAATATATACCAATGTATTTATATATATAATCCAACATTAAAAATAAACTAATTAAATATGAAGATACATTCGTGTCTTGCTGCTGATAAATGGGTAGTTCCACCTCAGACTTATTTTTTGTTATGACAAACCTGCAAGTCCAACTGCAAAATTCCAATCCCTTTTATCCAAACTCGAGCATGTCATAAGGGATGAGACCATTTCACACTATCTTATTATTATGAGACGTTAAATATTGTCCTTAAAGTTACTCCGACCTCACTATAAATTCTACGGAGCGCTTAATTTAAAACTTATTTGAATTAATGTTATAATTTATAGATCCCCCTAAAATGTATTTCTCATATCACAACGCAAACATATTATTAATTAGGTTATTTTTTTCTTTTGTAGAGATAGTCACAAAGACAAATGATACAGATGTCTTTAATATCAAGAATTGATCGTCAAACATGTTATTTGTGATTTAGTAATACTCGTATATTATTTCATTGCTATAATTTTTTATATATTATGAGTGTATTTTAAGAAGTTATGAGAGAGTAACTAAAGACAAATATAGAGTTACTATAACAAGAATAATACAGTAGTAATTAAAGCAAGAGGTGGGAATGAATTAAGAATAAAACTAATTGTTCATGATAGTTTAATTAAATTTCTAATTAAAGCTATAAATTTTGCAAAAAATGTCGAAGCAAGTTGATCAAGTGTTGGAACTCTCGACCTCGTAGTGTGTAATAAATGACACCCCAAACCCCAGCATTCCCCACTCTCAGCAAATCCTCTCACTCTCTCTCTTAAGTCGATCTTAGCCCTATCTCAACTATTGTCTACGCAAAGTAACCGATTTTCTCTCCCAAAATATCAGTCTATATTTTTATCCTTTAGCGACTAAGCTTATTCGCCACCACATACTCTTGAATGATTATTATATCACAAAAAAAGTTTAAACATTAAATGATACAAATATAAATAATGACGGAGAGAGTAATTAGAACTTACTGAAGAGAAATATGATTATATATCTTTCAAATATTAAATGATGATTTAAGTATTTCTTATTTAGTAGAGAAAAAAGGTTTTGTTAGTTCTATAACACGATTAATATAATTTGATTTACAGAGTATTAACCACATATAATTTTCAATTATACTCAAAAGTAAGTCTAAGTTTAAAAAAATTTATAGCGTTCAGAATAATTTACTATCGGTAATTCAAATGAACATATAAGTGTCAATATATGAAATATTTTGTACTAATTATTATGGCAATATGACCGAAATAAAAAACCTAATAGTATTATTTTGAATTGATGGATAAATGCATGTGTAATATACAAGCTAGTAGGTAGCATGTTACAATACCATAGCTAGCTACAATAGTAAAAATGAGAGTTTTATTAAGGAATGAAGGAATTAGTAACTAGTCTAGTTAACAGTAAAGGCATAAGGAGATCTCTTGAATAGGCACCCACACCAAAGGCCAAAATTGTAGATCCCCGAGTGCTTTGCATGGGTTGAAGATGTGTGCGTACGGACGTCAATTATTTTAAAACCAATTTTAAAATTAAATAAACTCCGACATATTAAATATTCAAAGAACTGCAAATAAAGGAGTAATTTTTACTCTTATTCAAAACAACACAACCATGAACTGTTCCCTTCTTAGGAAAAAGTAACAAATTAAAACTAAAAAAATGTTAAGATTTTTATTAAATTAAATTAGATTCAAAAAGAGAGAATTTAAGAAAGTTCAAAGGATTTCATTTCGATTTTCCCAAGTAGGAAGTCTGTTGACTGCCTAATTGAAATCCGCGATCGTCAAAGGTGAAACCCTCATTAATTTAGTCTACTTAATTTGTAAGTACTTAATTAATTAATTTTTAAAAGAACTATTGTAGTTAATTAATAATTATTATTAATAAGAATCCAATGCATGCATGTCTCCTACAAACTACAAGCTTCTCCATCAAATCCCACCACGCCTAATTAGAGACAATATAACATATTTATCTTATGTCATTGTCTCACTACCCTAATGTAGATACTATCAATTTTATGTTTTGCATGGCTTTCATATTATAGAATATGAAAGTGATATGATTTTTTTAAAAAAAAAACAATTTTAAATATACTACCCTATAAATTCATAAAATTTGCAAAATACGTGGTAGATTAAATGCATAATTACATGTATACATAACAAATCAAATTACCTATAAGTAGGAGTTTACAACCATAAATAAAATTAATATTTGACTCGTGTTTTTACATTTTATGAGTATATATTTTCACAAAATATGATGCATATCAGAATGGATTATATAGATGTGATACAATTAGTATATTATACAGAGTATTAAAGCATACTACGTATGTATTTTTTTTAAAATGCCTTTAACTTAAAAAGTTAGAAACTAATTACTTCCATTTAATTATATAATCACGATAAATAATCATGAAATGTGGAAGTAGTCTATTCACTTATGAAAGAAAAATTACTTCCATTCATTATATACTCACGATAAATAGATATATGTATTTCATCCATTTAATATTTAATACAATACACTACTACTCTGTATGTGAACTTAATTATAATTATACTATCAGCGAGACAACTAAATTACATAGGGAAACTCATACTAGCACAATAATAATAAGCTAATTACAAAAGCGGACATGAAGAATAATTAGCATACAGTTTTTTCATTCCCCTGATCAAACTGATAATAACATTTCCCCAAGTAGAATCCCTAGCTATTGGCGTGGAAGCTTTATGCATACTGACCTAGCTAGATTTGTTCATATTAATTCTTAAATCACCCTTTTAATCAGAACATTACATAACATGATATGCATGCAATAATTAAATAATTAACCTCTAATTTAAATACATATACTTGCTTGCATATATGAGCACTGTCAATAATCTTTTTATATATAAACTGCCGCAAAATTATAAAAGATAGAACCCATAATTTTAGGGTCAAAACCCAAAATAATAAAATGATTCTACAAAATGCGTGTCAGAATCCTGACATAATTCTAAAAATTGAATGCCTTATTTTACTATTCCATGCCTAATTATATGATTTGCTGTTATTCTACTCTTGTTTAGTAAAGTTGCATGATTAAATAATTAAATGTGATGCTTGTGCTATAATTAAATCACTCCTTGTCTTAGCATGGATTCAATTGAATATCATCAGAAATTAACCAAAAACTGAGACATCTATCATTCACAATATGAACAAATATGATTACACAAAATGCGAGTTGTGTATGGTACTATGGAGTAAGATAGGGTTTTCCATGTAGGTTTTAATTGAGCACAAACATTATAATTTGGTTTTTGATTTGGAGTCAAGGTTATAAGACTTGTAAGTTGTAACTAGAGAGCGCGATAATTTAATCCATTAACATTCAATCGAAAGCAATTTGAAATTTTTTTAAACTGAAGAAATTATATCTAATATCTTCCTCTAAAGCAAAGTATTTATAAATAAGACCATCGATTATATCATTATATTTTATGCATCACCGTAACATAGTAACATAAAATTATATAAAACGCGGTTAGGATCCCCTCCTTTCGAAGATCAATTCTAACGCATGCATAATTTTATATGCAAGAACGAACGCACGTAAAATACAAGATACAAGGAAAACAATCACCTGGTGGCAGCTTCTCTGCTCTGAATTGCACAGTAATCACCAAGATCAATCTAGCAAGACGAAATTAAGCAATTTGTTATTGTGTAGGCGACATTTTTTCTCTCTTTATCAAAATTTTAAATAAAATCCTCTCATATATAAAATCCTCTCATATTGTTAGATTTATTTATGTATTAAAATTCAAAGTAGATACAGATAATAGTGATGAAATTCTGATTAAACTTATTCTAATTCTCCTTTATTTCTCACTCTATTTCTCTGGTTTTGGGAAATTGTGTTAAGAGATAAAATTGCAGTCTACTTAAATTAAATACACTTTACTTAGTCCTTTGACGATTTATTTCTTTTAATTGGAAGAAAAATATAATCAAGGTTATTGTTTTTTTTTTTTTTTTTTTTTTTTTTTTTTTTAAAGTTGCAATAGCAGTGAATATGGGTGACACGTGTCAGTTAGTAAGCTGGAAAGAGTTCTGATGGTCAGCAACCAAATCAAGCCAATAAGGAGGTGTCTGCTTTCATTAATGTCAAAAAAATGCAAGAAACTAAACTTTGACTGCCACTTTAGTAGCCAATTACTGTCGTAAGTTTCATGCAAATCTCCTCCAATGGCATCACTACTTTTAGTATGATCAAATCTAGTCAGTTACGGGTAGTAAAGACAACCATATCTTTTATACTTATGGTAAATTTATACCAAGTTCCCTATCTCTAAGGAAAAAAAATTATTTATATTAGTTTGTCGAGATTACCACATTATTCGTGATTGTAATCAATGAAATGATATAGTATTTCATGTGAGACCGACTTTAATCTTTCAAACTTACATAATAATAGTTACAGTGTTACGTACATAACATATACAGGGTGTCGATCCTTTGATAATCATAGTTGATGCTGCAAATTTCAAATGTGATGACTGTATTGATGTCATTATTAATACAGATTATGGTAATATTATGGTGGTTTTGAGCTAACTAATTTTATATAACATAATACAAAATAAAGTTAGTTCTAACTACACTTTAAGCCTGTAGGATATACATATTAACCAAAAAATATTTAGCAATTTAGCAATTTTGAATTGCTCGTGTACACACTTGTACGTTGTACATGCTACATTCTAGTATCAAATTACAATAATCTTAGAGATATTATTTCATACATATGTCATATGAACCTTCTTAAAATCTAATATTGACAAGATTTAATTGAGATATTGTTGTTTTACTATTTGAGTTTAGCAAATATGTCTAGCTAGATATGACTATAATATAATCCTATTAACATGAAGCATCTTAATAATATCTTATAAGTATCTATATACAGTGTTTCTTTGAAGATTTTGAGATGTCATCATGATTGATGAAAGATTTATTTCTCGTTTCTATAAGCCACTTCGAATGAAAAACTACAATCTAAATTTCACAAAATGTAATTTGGGGTGCACAAAAACAAACTTAAGCTTGGCACAAACTCTACAAACTTGAAATACTAATAAACCCAATACATCAATAATTATACTCCGATCCTAAGTGATTTTTTTTTTTCTTTTTAATGTGATACTCGTATGATATTATAATAATGTTAATATTAGCCTAAGAAAATATTGGAACTTGGTGCAATAGATTGGACAAAGTTTGAAAATGTGCTCAACAAATGAGGGAGGGCATCATGGGAATTATTAAGTAAACAAAAATTAATTGGTGGGAGGAAACGCCGGGGAATTGCTCGTGTCGCCTCGAAACAACATCGACCCATCAAACTAATTATTTAAAAATTAAGAAGAAAGGTTAACCCCTCATTTAAAAATAAAAAAAAAATAAAAAAAGAGGCAAAAAGGTGTGCAAGTTTAAGAAGAAAATTTTTCTGGTTTAGACTTCAAAGGAACTGAACTTTGGTGGATCTTGTAGTTGTACTGTTGTTTAACCCCTCACAAGTCACAACATCAACTGCTGTCATACCTATGCCTAATAACCTACGCCCCTATTTTAAGGTTAGGGTTAAGCAAAGCTAACTAGGTTTGTTTCCCCTAAGTTTATCTCAAGATGAGATTTTTAATTGCATATTTGTATGTGTGCTAGTCCAAACACTATAGATGCACGTTGTTTTTGTGTATGTATCAATAATTGGCAGTGTGTGTCATACATGCGCTTTAATTACTAACATGTGTATCGTCTAGATTGTTAGCACTTTACATCAACATGTGCATCGTGTCTCTAGATTGTTAGGGCTTTACGTATGGTATCATCATGTGTATTAGCATGATAGCACACGAGTTTGTCATATGTCTAAAATGTTAGCCGAGTGCATCTGCCTCAAATATATGGTAGAATTTGCAAAGAGCAACTTCACTTAATTGAAAGTGTTCATGTTTTTTATAATTTGCTAACACTAATTTGTGGTGTATTCACACTTCACAAGTTCACAGTACTTTAATCACTTTCTTAGAAGAAAACACAAGCAACATAAAAAAATCAACATGGTACAACTTTAATAAAACGAAGGAATTGCCATTTTGCAGAGAACTTTGATATTACAAGCAACATAAAAATCAGGGACATGAGATATGCATAATAAGGGCACTCTTTTATCACTCCAAGTATGAAAGGTTAACTCAGTAATTAAACTCAGTGCAATTCTGCAACAGTGTATCTAAGAAAACGAGGCTCATCCTTTATTCATGCTACAAGGTACCGATTAAAACTTGATAATTTCGAAATCCTGTAATTATATGTTACAATATTTCCCACACATTAATCACTATGGAAAATATACCACATTCTCGATTCTCCTAAACTATAACATAAGATAACATCTAGTTGTTGCTTAGTTTCAAGAGACATACATGTATAGCACCATGTATTGCCTTGTAAGTAGTCCGTATATGTTATCAAGGTTTGTTGGAAGCCACCACCAAACGAACAGGTCGAACACATTAAAAGGATTTCAGAGTCAAACGAAACATGTCGAATTCAAGCTGGAAAAGTTTGAAACAAAAAGGATATCCATTAGAAAAGATAAACGTAGCTGTATATGAAAATATAAACTGAAGATAAGAGGTATAATCGTATTTAATACAGTAAACAAGATGTAAAGAACTGTCTACAAGCTACGAGAAACAGGAAGGTTATAAATTCAGTGCACAACTAGAATGAACAAATAAGGACAATCATGAGATTAATTCAGCTGGGAGTAAGTGTTGCAATCATTATTTGATCAAACTGGGAGAAATTAAAGCAGTTCTCTATGACTAACCTATAGATATCTGCAAAATTCCGGGTTTAAAAAGATCTGTATTCAGCAACAATGGCCATGTGCATGAAGCATATATCAAATACTAATAGCATAAGGTGAAGCAACCATTTTGGCGTCTTGATTACTGGTCAAGAATTGTGGTTCTCTACTTTCAAGCATAATGTCGACTAGCACGTGAGCTGCTCGTGCTTAGTAGAGCAGCCACGTCATTGGTTGAAGCACAGATATCCACAGATTTCAAGACACAGCAACTTAGAGAAAACGATAGGTCATTTAATTAGCACATATACAAGCAAATGACAGCAATGGTGGTAGTTTAGATTTGAATGTGGGCATCAGTCGTAATTACTAATCCACAATCAGGTTGATGATGCTTAAACAAATGTTTCCCTCATCGACAATCCCATGAAAATGGTAGGAGCTTCTCAACATCGATAGAACATATAGGAAAATGAGACTTTATTAGTATTTATTACTAAACAAGTGGAATATCTGCAGGGCATGTGCATGGCATTGTCTTGTTCCAAGCAATGTACAAAATTATATATCACAGACCACACATTTAATTATAATCTTAATGCATATAAAATATCATAGATACACCTTGGTCGGGGAGAAAAGAACTTCCTCAAATTTGACTTCATGCATCTGTTGATGCATAGACATTTATGCTTATGTTTACTTGCATTTCAATATTTCCCAACTGAGGGAGTTTTTTTGTTATAGATGTTTTAAAAAACAGTTAACTCTCACAATCAATAATTGAGCATATACTTCTAAACATTTCATCAGATTTTTTAACTATACAGTACATCATAATTGAGTGATACCGGATATTCCACGAATACGCATACACAATGACCAAAGCAACTAAAAAATCAATATCCAATTAAATTTATGATCATTCAGCAATAGTAAAAGTCCAAAAACTCGGCTCTACCACCTATGCAAAATCAGCAGAAAGTCTGTACATACGTAAAGTAAATACAGTTTGTGGCAATTCTTAGCAGATAACTTCAACTAGTCTGAAATATGGAATGTTAACTTACTCTTAATAGCATAGGCAAGCTTAAGTTAAAATATACTGACAGAAAATTGGTTTATCTGATATCCTGCAAGGCACGGCATCCAACTTTTTAAGTTGATAATTTATTAATTATTTATTTTTTTTCAGGAACAAAAAGTTCGTTATATCATCACTAGTAGACCAAATTATCTGCTTTTTATTACCATTTACCACCAGCACCGCTAAACTTAAAATATCTACCCTATAGATCTGAACCCCATAGCACAATGTCCCAGCAAGATATAGACGGAAAATTAGGAACACCTCAAGAGCCAAGCATGGCAAACAACCAAGTAAACAATAGTACAAATAAAAGTAAACCAACATCTGACTACTGAATCTTTAATGGACAACCAAAGATAGTAGAACTAAGATTCTAAGAATGCAAATTGCAAAGCACCAAAAGTAACTTCAGGCTTTTAATAATAGGTACAAGTCAGACAGCTTACCATAACATTTCAGTAGACTATCAGCTTTAGATTCCTTCATGTAAACAGAAGTCCCTGGCAGTGTGATGCAATCATCCTGCTACAGCCCTGCAGATAAGGGGTGGAAAGCAAAAAGAAAACATCTAGTGCAGACTAGATAAATTAGGCAGTGGTCACTGATCATAACAGTAAAAAAAAATATAGAACTATACAGACAAATCTGGAATGTACAAGAGATTGTAAAAAGGATAAAATTTAACCTTATATTCACTTGGCCAGTTTTTTGCATTATTACTACAGTCCAGGTAGGTGAGGTGTTGCACAAAGTGGAGCAATACAGAATTAAGAATCATCTTAGCCAACTCTAAAACTTGTATATATCTTCTCAAGCGAGGAAGCTCCATAACTTTACCTAGGGTGGATTTCTTGAAGTGCATCTAATAATGACTCGGTTAATGCTCTTTAAGAGCTACTCAAAACAGATTATTAGTCATCAAGCCCACTGCAATAATGGCGTTAATAGTCAAGGTATGCTTTTACCTCCCCTCCCCCTGCAAGGCTAATATAAAATAATAACATAAAATAAGAAGAGAAAGATGTATACTTCTGGCATAAGCAGTTTATAAACTTGGGAGATCCAACATTAGAGTTCATGATGTTTCTTAATATACAATGCATGATAAAGTAGGGGCTCATTGAGTGAATTGCCCTAAACATTCTACATTGACCACTCAACAGGAAGAAACTGCAGGACAAAGAAGGAATTTACTGTCATTGAATGTCAAGAGTCTCAGGACATGCAACAGCAAAATATCTCTCTCCACTGCAACATGCTTAATGAATCTCTACAACAATGACATCGAGCAAAAGGGGAAGAGCCTATTATATTTGATTTGGCATCTTCAATTTTGTCTACCAGCAACATACAATGCAGAAATGGATTCATGTATTAATGAACTGATTGACAGATTAATGTATGTAGCATGTTGTTGCAACAACCATAAATTGACAATAATCAGTTTCACCGAACATGTAGTTGACAGATTAATATATGTAGCATGTTGTTACAACATCGAACATCCATAAATTTGATAATAATCAGTTTCACCAAACACTGTTATTAAGGTTTCCTTGATTGTACTAGCACATCCCCCTAAAATATGCATATGTAGTTCATTACTTGGTCATTTAGGTCAAGTAGATCTCAGGGAGACTTTAAACTTCAGAAAGGACAAATAAATTTAGTGAGTACATATTTGTTATTTTTACAACACTGTTTACTTACAACTGAAAATAGCTATGTACAATCAGTGAATTAAAATTCAGGTTCACTTATGAAATAATTATATAATTATGTATGGCTAATATTAGAATATATACAAGAGGGTTATAGCACAGTATACCTCTTATTGTAGCCTGTAGAAATAGCATGAATTTCAGACAACACTTCTAAGACCTTAAGTATGGCATAAAATTATGAAAGCTAGTAACAAATGACATCGGAAGCTGAATTCCATAAACTCAAATAAGGGAAAAGATCCATCAATCATGAGATCAATATGAATCAGAAACCATATACAGACATACCCTTTTCAAGAATCAAATGCACTTATATTTACTAAATTACAAATTTTGACAAGCAGCTTAATAAAGTAATACTTCAGTTACCCTGACACCAGAATACAGACATTATGTGATCGAGTGTCTCACTGTGCAAAATGTTTCTAACACTAAGATTCAAACGTCGTAAAACCAGAAATCAATACTCTCATCAGAACCCCAACAAGCCATGATAAATGTAACCTAATTGTACCTTCATGTTTATGAGGCAACTTGAAGTCATAGTTCATATAACATAGTAGTTATTATTGATAATGATCATGAATCATCACAATTCAATAATCTGGTCTGATTGGGTCCCATCCATAATCTTCACTTTGCGGCAATAACCAAAGATGCTAAGTGGTCTAGGGCAAAAACCAAGAGACCCAACTTAATAATTAAAAAGGAACATGTACAAAGGTAGTCAATAAAGTTGTACATGGAAGATAGGTTTATCGAAAATTTCCCTATATTTTGATTTACATAAATAAAAGTTGAGGGTCTGAAAGACATAATTCCTGGTTTGCCAAAAAAATAGGAAACACGGGCTATTGAAGAACATTAACAAGAATACTTTTCCTAATTCATTGATCACAAAGAGACAAAAAACACGATTTCATTCTGAAAAAGAAAGAAAGGAAGGACAACAAAGTTTGCATAAAATGGAGGACTACGAAACTCTTAAGCAACATAAAATCTCTTGCATACTGTAAAATCACAATGTATTTTCATTTTACAAGTTCATCAGCTCAGCAACTTTACTAGATTGAAAACTACTTCACCTTTTCCAACCGGACTTCCGGAACAAACTTTTTAATAATCATTGGCTCCAGGTTGGGGCAGGGCAAGACAAAATACATACATACATTCAGACCTCCCAAAAACATTCATCGGTGAGATCAATTCTAAATTGTGGATGCATTTGTGAATTTCTTCCAACCTAAAATCTTAAGTACAATCTAACACTTACAAACTTACAATTATTAATATGCTTTACCATATAAATCACTTTTATCAAGTATAGCGCTAATTATCGCGAATCATCGTTTCAATTCACCAATTCTGATAAATTATGCTCAATTACTTGTCTTAAAACAAAATAGTTTTGCTATACATAAGTTAAAAGCAAAATTCAATGCACAATCTATAGCAAATCAAAGAAATCAGCAAAATTGTTCATCACCAAAAGGAAACCCTAATTTCACGTCAATTCGAACTCTAATTTATAGAATTCAAGATTTAATGCTACCGAATGCATTCAAATTCATCGAATGACGGAAAACCCTAAAAATGGAATTTGTAATCAAAAATCAAACAAAAGCTAGCAAAAATCAAAAACACTAAAAATAGACGAAATCTAGCTTACCTGAGATTGAAGGAGCACGAAGAATTCGTCAAACGATGAAAGCTCCGTTAATCTGCCATCTTTCTCTCTCTTGAAGTCACCTTGCCATGGCTTTGCTTATTGTTTTTTTTTTTTTCCAACGTTTGCGTTTCCCGCCAAGAAAATTCCGCTTGAAAGATGAATATTTACTTCCTCTGTTTCGTAATAATCGACTTGCAAAATGTTGATTGCTGTGTAGTAGGTATTGAGATAGAATTTCATAACATCAAATTTTAACTAAAATTTAATTATTTATATTTAGGGTCAATATAACGTGTTGTAGAGTGATAATTATTCTGAACAAATGTGAAAATGTAATTTAGCTATGATCTAAAATTTTCACCAAGTAAACTATTCCCTCCATCTCGTTTGTACTCATTTGGGATAATCGGTGTCGAGGTGAGATCAAATCGAAAAAAAGTTAATACATGATTAAATACACGTATTTCAAGCAACACAAATAATTTCACGGTTCTATTCACATAATATTAATTTAACAACCAACAAAGTGTTGGCTCACTTGGTAAGGTTCTTACCTCATATCCTAAAGGTTTGGGGTTCGAATCCTACCAAGTAAGGGATCGTGAGTGTTAAGGTCTGGTCAAAATCATCCTTACCATTAAAAAAATAATTTCATAACATATATCATTAACAAAAACAAAGTGTACACAAAGTTTGATGCCCATTATTTCATCATTTCCATATCTTGCACCATTTTATCATATTATTTGAATTACAACTACCTTATAGTGAATAAACTAGTAGTGTAGAAAATTATTTAGATGGAGATTTTAATTAAATGAACATTTTAAGAAAAAATGCAAGTTTGTGTATTTGATCAATTCACCCTGCAAGATTTTTGCAACAAATTTAAGTTGGTCTTAGTTTGTCGCATTAGGGTTGATATCTTTCCACTTTGTATGACAAACGATGTAGGGTTCATAACTCCGCAAGAGCGAGATAGATTAAAGATTTAAAGAGTTAGGAAGAAAGATTGGCATTTATATAATAGAGTTGTCGCTTAAAGTTTAGTGAAATTATAGTTCACTTCTAGACTCAATTTTAAAAGTAAAACACAAGTAGGAAGAAAATGATAACTTAAGTCTCTTGACCTTCCTATAAAAAAAAGTTACAAAATTGAACCAAGGTAATATTACATTTGTGCTCCATTTTTAACTTTTTCTTTATTCTAATTCTCGCTAATATGTCCTTTAAATCCTTTAAAAATGTAATTCTACTCCGTATTAAAGTTTTTAAATAAGATTGGGAATAATCAATAATAGATCTTTATCCTCAAAACGCGTCCGGTGAAGACTGAACCCCCAATCTCCTAAGGCTTCGCATCTAGTCTTTCCAATATATTGACCGCCATTAAAAAAAAGGAAAAATTGCGAAGAAGGTCCTTTTAAGTGGTCGACCTTGTGAGAAATTAAAGGTCCTTTAAAAAAAATGGTGGCACAAAAGGTCCTTTATGGCGATTGGGTAGTGATGAGGGTCCTTTGACCAAACTCCAGCGTTGACCTCCGTTTTCCGGCCAAAAAAAGTCACGTGTTGTGCACGTGATCACTTAAATCAGTTTTTTTTTTTTCTTTTCTTTTCTTTCCTCTTCATCTTCTTCCTCCCTTTGAATTCCACACCTCCATGAATGGCATTTCCGGCCAGACCTCCGCCCACCACACCTCCACCTCCGGCAACAAGGAACCCCATCCCTTTCCCCCACCCTTTCTCCCTTTCAAAAACACTCCAAACGAACCTTCCCTTGCGCAAGACCAACATTAACCCACGCAACACCAATCAGCCATCGCAAGCAGCCACCACTCCACCAATTCCAGCCAACCGACAACGCAAATAACAACAATTACATCAACAATAACAACAACCACAGCAGTGTTGCCACCTTCCCTTCACTGTAAACAACCCACCTTCACCGTCAATTCTTTACATCTCCAACCAATCAACCTCCTCACACTCCAACAACAGTAGCAACCCTTGCTTTCTTTGCCACCAAGCTCCACCACCCTGAAAGCCCCCTTCCTTACCTTGTCTCCCTTAAAACCCTTCTCCACTCTTACGAACCACTCAACAACATCAATTAATTTCCACTCTCATACCATCTCCCTCATTTTGCATCACTGGCAATCTCCCCACAATTGCACCTTGGTAGCACCAACAATCGAAGCAACAACACAGGAATACCCTCTTGATTTGATTTAATTTAATTTCAGAAAAGCAACATTAGGGTTGAATTTTAGAGAAGTAGCATAGTAATACCCCACAACTACTGAAGAATTTTAGAGAAGGAACAACTTTAGAGAAGCAACATAGTAATACCCCATCACTACTGAAGAATTTCAGAAAAAAAAAAAGTAACAATTTTAGAGAAGCAATACAGTAATACCTCACCACTACTGAAGCAACAATGGCACCTTCTATTGTAAGGGGAAAAGGGAAATCGAGGAAGAAGAGGAAAAAAAAAAAAAAAAAAAAAAAAAAAAAAAAAGCTGATTTAAGTGGTCACTTGCACAGCACGTGACTTTTTTTGGTTGGAAACGGATGTCAGCGCCAGAGTTTGGTCTAAGGACCCTCCTCACAACCCAATCGCCTTAAAAGAACTTTTTGTGCCACCCTTTTTGAAAATGACCTTTTTCACAAGCTCACCGACTTAAAAACACCTTCCTCACAATTTTTCATGAAAAAATAAAAAATAAAAAAAATGTATTACTCCTCAAGAAACAAATAAGAGAAAATAGCTCTGCAAAAATCCACCCCTAACTCATCTCTACTTTGATCTCTCTTTTTCAATCTTCCCAAATCTCACAAGGTAAGTTCTTTTTCTATTTTATGCAAACTGTACTTATACTTTAATATCTCGAATGTTTCTAATCAATGCCAATCTTCAATTTTTGACTAAATTTGTTAGTTTTGACTATTATTTGAATTTATTGATCATTGAATTTCCTATTTCGCTGATTTCTTGCTTTTTGGGTTGATTTGGGAGCTGGGTTTGTGAGGAATCGTGGTTAAATTTCGCCATTGTTAGTCATTGATTTGGTGGTTGATGCGGCGGAGCTTTCCAAATTAGGGTTTTTCGTAGGATCTTATATAGACAATAGTTAGATTAACTTTAGGAATTTAAATTTAGTTAATTTTGTGTTACTTATGCTTGAATTTTGAAGGAAATCAATATAAAATCGTGTTTTTTTTTTTTTTTTTTCCTTTTCGGTTTCTGTATCTTGATGATTGTGGTTGTTGGGGTTTTGAGCTGGCTTCCTGCCTTCCTCTGAGAGATTTCAGGAGCTATTTAGACTTGAATTGATAAGAACAACATATTAAATGGGCCTTTAGCTGATCTTGAGCTTGTATGTACGAGTTCAAATAGGCCTTGAGCATATGTATCAGCATTCAAGCCAAGCCGCCTTTGAGCTTATAAATTTAAGATCACACCCGGAAAAAGTTAGGGTTCAAGCCACTTGGTTATTCTTACACCCATAATTGACTAAATGGACAATGTTGAAGGAGAGATGATGAAAGCATTCCTGAGATTGTTGGCTTGCCTCATTGGTTTAAAATTATATGTCAGTTGCGAACAGCGTGTTAGTGTCTTTCAATCCCTTAATCTCATTTAGGTGGAAACTTTATCAATGTTTGGTGCTATGTGTCTTGATCTAATGCTATATCAATCAATCAATCAAAGCCTTAATCCCATAATTGGATTTAATGCTATAAGTTAGCTTAATTTTTCAGGTAGTACATAAAAATAGAGTATATGTTTTTGAGTGTTTTATCTTATGGATTTTGGAAAATTGGCTGTGGATGGGTGGTTGAGTCCATACTCTTAAGATTATCAACATATTAATATATTGTCACTGTGAGTTGTTTTGTTTGATTTGATAAACCCTGATATTCTTTTTAAGTTTAGAGTTTAAGTTAGGCATAAGTGTTCCTCCATTTCCTTTTCTAGCTGTAGGAATTTAGAATCTCTTTTGTTTTGTTAGTGTGCTGTTTTCCTTCTGGTCTGCGTGTGTGAGTTTCATCCACAAATTGTAACAAATTAGGGAATAACAAAGTTTTGCTGCATTCTCAATCTGATTGTACTGTGTGCTTCTTTTATATTATGATGGATAATTTATGTGTTGCAACCACTTGGATTGTGTAATGTGTATAAATGAAAATGCAGAAAAAAATATGTATCGAATTGTTTCTTATTTAACTTTAATCTGTCCACAGGGGGCGTGATGGTGAAGGCCTACAAACAAGAGCATGTCTACCAGCATCCATGGGAAAGAGTGACATCTGCATCTTGGCGCAAATTTTCTGATCCAGAGAACAAACGCACTCTCTCTCACATCCTTGAAGTTGACACTTTGAATAGGAAGCTAGAACCTGATACTGGGAAGCTTTACACCACTAGGGCAATCACAATCCATGCTCCTGGACCATGGTTTATTCGCAAGATGGTTGGCCAGGATATCTGCCATTGTGTTGAATCTACGGTTGTTGATGCTCAATCACGTTCAATGCAACTTATTACTCGGAATGTTAGTATGCAGAAGTTTGTTGAGGTTGAGGAGAAAATACGGTATGATCCTCACCCTGACAATCCCTCTGCATGGACTCTCTGCAGACAAGAGACTAGCATCAGGATAAAGCCATTGTCAGCCCTTGCTTCAATGGCAGAGAAGGTGGAGCAGCGATGTGTTGATAAGTTCTTGCAGAACAGTGTCAAGGGCAGAGAGGTTATGGAGAGAATGTGTAAGTATCTCGAAGCTGAATCTAGTGGAATGTCCATTTGATTCTGCTGTTGATCTCATTTGATTATATATTTGCTAGAACAAGGTTCTGAATTACAGACCCTTTTAAGAGGAAATAGAGATAGAATGTTCAAATAATGTATAAGCATGAGCTTAAGAACTTGAGAGCTTAGAAACTAGAAGTCTTGTTGGACTTGCCGCAATTTTGGAACCAATATACTTTTCCCAGTTAATCTAACATGATTATATGAGTCAGCATTCCTGTTATTTTTTGATACGAAACTGTTTTACAAGTTAATACCTTTTGAAATATGGATGTTGCAAGACATGCTTTTGTTTTAGTACACAATTATGTGGGGTCTTGTTGATTAATTGAATGGAAGGTTGTCATGTTCATGTTATACATATGATGTAAGTATATGACTATATGAGCATATGATTGAAACAATGGTACCGTCTGTGTTTATAACTCATAAGAAACAATTTTTACTGGTTAATTCCTTTTGCTTATATAAGGTGGGAAGTTGGTGAAATTGATCTAGTGAATCAGGAATGGAGAACCTTATTTGTATTCATTGGAGATTTTGGCTAACTTGCATACATTATTTTGAATGCTTTGTGCTTATGCATATTAAATGGTGTTATTGCTTCTTAGTACCATGGACACTCGTGAACTTTCACAGGATTAGGCCTATATTACTATAACCCTTCTTTTATTAGGATTTGTTGTTTTTGTAAGTCAGCATATTGTGAAAATTTGGTGGTTCTTCCCCATAAGAAAAAATAGGAAAAAAAAAAAAAAGAAATTTTGGTGAATTTCCCTGAATGATACCAATGAGAATGTTTAAGCTCAAATACTCGTAGTTGATAAGAGGTGAATAATTTTTGTGATAGATTATAGGAAAGAGTTTGCATTATGCAAATTTTCTGGCAGGCAATTTATTGAAGCTGTTAGAGTTGAATATATTGGCCGGTAGACTGGTTTCTTCTTTGATGGTCTGCCATGGTGCTCCTTGGACTATTAAGTTACTTTCAGTATATCCTCTTGTTGCTTTCTAGAGATGCAGAAGACTAAAAATGCAAGTCTTGTGAAAAAGAGTGAGTATAAAATAACCGAAGGAGAGAGAGTGAGAGTATCAGGCATTATCCTCAAACTATATCCAGTGGACAATATTAGGTGATGGAGGAAAGAAATTGTAAAGATGGAAAATTGAGAAAACTATTGAGTTGGAAATGGTGTAACTGAACTCATAGGTTAATCTCGTTAGTAAGTTTTGAATTATGATGATTAGATTGAGTGTTTAATGGAGACTTCTATAGTTCTTATTAAGACACTTGAAAGGACTGTTTACAGACTCGCCTAGCTGGAAATGATGAAGGCAGCTAACAAATCAGATGTTATGTTGACCTTAGCCAAATTGTAGTTCAGAGTAGAGTTAGTTTCCTCTAGATTGAGATTAAGGGACTACCAGACAGTTGGTAAGCCACCCTTAACCTAAGAGCAAGAAATGCTTGTTCTTACTGCTTGCAAGTGTGATGTGGCATCTGGCAAGCCGCACGATATTTTGTGATTCCAGTTGCCTGGTATATTTTGTGCACCCTTCCAGAGGTTCATCTTTGAAGTAGGAATTTCTCTCCTAGACTTATCGAAGAATTTCTGTTTTCTATTCGAGGCTTGCCTCAATATCCCTTGCAACAAGATAATATATGGTAGTGGATTGGAAGCTTAGAGACATAAGATCAATAGCTGTGTAATTTACTGCATATCTCACTTTGGATGTCAAAACAGTTAAATGATTGAATTAGCAAACTGTCTGCAACCATTCTACAGTCGGAAATTACTATAGTGGTCATTTGGTTGCACTTAAAAATTACAGAGTACTCCGTACACTTTAAAGTTCCAATTCTTGTGGAAAGTGTAGGAAGGTGTTTGGCTGGCTACATAACGCCGGACTTCCCTAGGCCGGATTCAGCAAGCAACTTCCCTTATTCTCTGTATTTTGTCAACTAAACAATTCCAAATATTATACGTCCTGCATAAGTATCTGCTTAATTAAACTGACTATATGTATACTTGTATGACTATCCTTACTCGTTTCGCCAGGCAATAAATGGAGTGTAAAGTGTATGAGTAGAAAGAACACTTCTTGCCCATGCAACGTGGTATGGCGAAAATCATGCCTCCCCATATTCATTCACTTGATGAATGCACATGGAATGTTGAAGCAGACTGTAATATCAATTGCAGCTGTCAACCTTTCAACAGTAAAATTCTATAGAGAGCTAAAATAACGTTTATATTCCAACTATCAATCCCAAAAAAAAAAAAAAAAAAAAAAAAATCCAACAACATCCTGACAATTTTGTGAGCAACAACCTGTCTTCCCCATAATCCAGAGGGATGTACGAAGAGGCAACTCCTGATCCTGAAGTCCTGAACACACAAGCCCACACGTAGGGTTTGCCTTTCAGTAAACTGGTTGATTTCAAGTTTGTTATTCGTGACGATTTCAGATTGTGCTGAAAACCTTTCAAATCGTACTCAGCACAAGATATATAGTGTTGAATTTGGGTTCGTTGTACTTGTACATGTTCGTGTTCGGTTGGCTTAAAAAGATTACACAATACGGAGTATGATAAAAAGTTCAAATTATGTCATATTCGGATCATTCGTGTTTATATTACATTTGTTTCTAAATTATCCGTGTTGGACTTGAATCTAGTTGTATCATGTCATAAAAGAGATAAGCCAATTTCTAAATACAGGCAGCAATAACTTGCCCCGAGTTATACAAAAGGCTATACTCTCGGGGAAGACAGCATACCTGCTGCCTACTTCTTTTTCCAGAGAGCTACATCTTTTTAGGAGACAATTAATTGCATACCAAGTGAACATGATAAGTCCTTTACAATCTTACATGAAAAAGGTCGTCAGTGTTTCAAATTACTCCTCTAAGGGCGATGGGCTTCTGAGTTATGATGATAATAGAAATAGAACAACCAACTAGCCACCTTGTGATCTACTTGAGTCATACGAGTAATATGTTCGACTTTGAGTTGTTACATTCGAACTCGTTACCGCCACTCCTTTGCTATGATCGGAAATATTGAACATGGTTCGACTTTGAGTTAATATATTCGAACTTGTTACCACCACTCCTTTGCTATGATCGGAAATATCGAACATGGTCAACACAGACAATCTTACTATCGCTGATCCAATAAAAAATAAACTAAACTTTAATAATGTTGCAACGAGAATACTTTTGATGAACTCATTGTATGAGACAAGTCTAGAAGCCTACGGAGTATTGGATTATGTTTTGGCTCATCTAGACAACCACCAATCCACCATATTTTTAGTGCATTGTTCTTGTTGCAATAGTCAATACCCACTTTCGTTTAAAATACCTTTAGGTATGCAAAATTAATAATCAATTTTGTTTTACCAATATTTATTCTAAAATTGAATTCATTCTTGTTACACCATACTAATAAGTTAATAAATAATTATTTCAGTTGACGTTTTAAATTTTCCTTTTGCTCTGTGATCCAAAGTTCCATCCATGTTCTTAGATTTATCCCATCATTCAAACATCCTCGTATAGTCCCAAATTTTTTGGGTAACTTCTCACGATACGGGACAGTTTAAATGATATGATTGCCTGTGCTCGGCATAACGAATAGGTTTAAGTAAAAACAACAGTTAGTTTACAGAATGAAGAAGACATTTCTGAATATCACAAATCATTTTCACATAAACTACTCATAATGCCATTTTTTCGGCCAGAAGGGACACATTACAAAGCTAATTTAAGAGATTGTCCATCAAACCAGCACAGGTAGAAGAGATAATCAGAGCCAACAACACATTTAAGGCAATCACAAATAGAGAATAACTTGAAGCTGCAAAGCTGTCCTAACTCGCCGTTTCTCCAAGCAAACATATCCATTGTAGAGGACACCTTCTTGATAATATGCAGCCAACTCAAAGAGAAAGTCTCTTTGGAGAAAAGGATGCATCGTAATTTTGAATGCTCGAACTTCACACCTCCAGCCTTAGATTTTATCGAGTTTTTCAGCCTTAATAACAGGGTTGGCTTTAGCTATGGCATCACGAGCGGCAGTACGGTAATCAAAGGGGCACTCGTGTTTGTCTGAATAACGATGTGTGGCACAGAAAAGATTACCGCACCGGCAATTGAATCCCGTCAAGCCTACCCTTTTCTTGCAAGTGGTACAACGGCTAGGCCCTTGTTTTGGCTTAGCATCTCCACTCTCGTCCACCAAATCTGTTGATACACTTGACTCTGGTGCAGGTACGACTTTTAGTTCAATAGGTTTGACTTGCAGATCCACCGTCGTGCCAACAACAACAGGTTCCTTGCCGTTGCCGCTTGATGATCCATTCACTATATTTTCAATAGATGATGCGGCAAGTTTAGCTTGCTCCTGCTTGAGAACGGCATCTTTGTAGCACTTGGAGCACATGTTCATTGTTGCCACACTCCCAAAGAATCCACAATTATTAATGCACAAGATTGGTCCTTCTGGAGGAGCTTGGCATCCAGTCTCATCATGATCCATTTCCGAAGTTCTGAAGCAGAACAAACAGGCAAAAAGAAAAATAAACCGATTAAGAGTTGCATAACTCTAATAAACAAATTACGAATGCATGACTTTCATTTTTTGCACAAGAAGCAGTGGATAGCTGCAGACAGATTATAAACCCAGAATTTCTAGGAGCCCCAAGATGTTTTACCAGTTGCACAAGCCGGCATCTCTGGCATGTATCTACACAAACCAGAAACCAACAAAAATGACCATTTATCGCGCACTTGCCAAAAACTCAATACATAACCACAAAGGCACAAACCATCAATAGCACAAATGCTGACAAACTAATGTAAGGTTGTATATTAGACTGAAGTTTAATGTGCTTTCTCAACAGCCATTTCAATTTCGATAAGAATGATGCCACTGAACAACATAAGAAGTTAAACTTCAGCAGACTGAAATGCATGTTAAATGCTAAGCAAGCTGAAAAACCCTCATCCAACTGATGTTCTAATGAAATACCAATATGACTTCAACATTTAAACACCGCAACTACAGGAGAATACCACAAAGACCACCCTGCCACCTCCAATTGTTCAGACCGCAAGAGAAAGACAAGGCGTCGAAGACACAAAATGAGCCATTACCAATTCAAAACACTAAAACGCAAGAATAAAAGTAAGAAAATATAATTCTTCACTATACTAAACCCTACGAGAGACCTCCCCTAAATTTTTCGCAATTCGCCAAAGATACATGCCTCTTAAATTTCACAGGAAAATCACACACCATTTCACATGTAATTAACTCATACACACAAATTCAAAATGAGATTTCTATCTATATCAAAAAAATGAAATTTAACAAGAACACGAGATATAATTTCCCAAAAGCAAGAGCAACAACTAGCTAAATTAAACAAAGGTCACACCAAATGAAAACGAAACATAACCAACTAAAAGGTATCAAATTACAGATGCTTAATCAATCAAACTTTGCACCTAATTATAAAGCAAAAGGAAAAATGTAAAATTGACGCATGTCTATTTTTTTTTTTAAAAAACCCAATATTCAACGAATAAAGTTTCAATCTTTCACCCAATAAATTCAACAAATCATACAATATTCAAATTTCTACAGCTAAATCTATCACACCCATCTCAAATTAGTTATGTAAAACCCCTGATTTGGGAGAAATGAATCAACAAAATAATAAATAAAAAAAAAATCAAAAATTCAAAACCCTAACCAACAAAATTCAATCAAATTCCTAAGAAAATTACCCTTTAATTCTTCAAAATCCAACACCCAGTAAATCATTTAAAACCCATCAAACGTTCGAACAAACAAACAAAAAGTTAAATGCAAATTTAAAAAATCATTTAAAAAAATTAAAATAAAATAAAAGCAAATAACTGTTGAAATAGAAATGAGATTTAAAGCTAATCAAACCCAAAAGAAAAACAAACCTGGAGAAAGGCGAAGAGATCGCGAAGAAGGGGAAGAGAGAGAAAGAAGAAGAAAAAAAATGGGGGAGTTAAATTAAAATGGGTATTAAAGAGAGAAGAAATCCTTCTCTCTCTGTTTCTCTCTCTAAAGAGTTTCTCTCTCCTCCCCTCTCTTTCGTCTTCGTAATAAAGAGACGTTCTCTCTCCGCCAACGAACGCCTAATTACTGATTGCTAAAGTATCCTTCTTTTTTTTCTTTCCCATTTTGCCCTTTGGTTGTCGTGGACTCTTCTGTTAACGCTCCCTTGGGGAAACTGATTTTCACGCCTTCCCGAGTTGTTTTGGTTACAAGTAAACCGAAGAGTCGAGGTCACAATTTCGAGTCTCACCATCTATTTTAAAGTATTGACCTGTGTTAAAACAGAACTGCGGGAACAAAAACAGTAAGAACAAAGTTACCGAAAATTAGACTGAGTCGCGGACTATGTCGCTCTCTTTAGAACATTCACGGCACTGCCCTGAAAATGTGCAAGCAGTTCGTACTAAACCGGATGTTCCCCAGGATAAAACAGCCTTTCTCTTTTATAGGCAAAATTGCAACGTAACTGCTGCTGTTTAATTAGGCACTAATCACGCAATTAAAACGGTCATAAGTTGAACGTTCAAAACGGTTACAGAAGATTAATGCGTGGCAAAACGTTTAGCAAAAAATCAGTGAAAACGTTTGCATGATTAACGCTCCATTAATCAGTTTTGAAAAAACGGTCAAATGTAATCAGTCAAAAACGTTTAGCAAAAATCAAGGAACTAATCACGCAATTAGCCTTGTCCAAAAAATAAGTTTATTTAATAAACCCGACCCGACCCAACCCGGCCCGGCCCGGCTCGCGTGATAGATGGTTTACAATATAGGTCCTCCCTCTCCACAAAATGTGGGTAGCCCAAGGGCCACACCCCTTTAGCCCACTCTCTATATTATAAAGAGAGTAAAACTCTCATTTCCCACCAATGTGGGACTTTGAGTTTTTTCACAAAATTCACACACTACACACTTGTTGTTCCAACAACCTGTGTAACTGAATTGGCGATACTAGTTTCATAGGATCATTCTTCTTACAAAAAGTCAAAGAGAATGAGACTTTGACTTTCTAGGAAAGTGCTTGTTCAATACAAGTGATACAAGTATGGAGTACAAAGTATTTCATAGGTTTTTTTCTTATCAATTAGCTGTTGGTGTAGTGGTGATTGGGGCTACACTTGTTAGGAAGGAACACGTGTTCGATTCCCCAATAACAATTGGAAGGGAACCGAAACCTAACCACCTAGAACTGATCATC